AGAAAAGATTAATAGAGAATAACAAGGCTGATTTTCCAGAACAGACGAAGAACACAAAGAACAATAATCTGCTGGCTTCGAGGGCCAGTACCTCCCCAGTCCCAATTTCCCTTTTTCTCTGATACGCCACAAAAATCCCCTGTCACCCTTTTTACGCCCAACTTCATTCTAACAGAATTATTCCCATTCCAATAAGGATGCCACCTGGATGCCACTGTCCTTCCAAGGATGCCACTTGTCCCCTGCTTGTTCGTAGAAAGTACCATTTTATCCCTTCTGTCCACACTTTTCCTTTTGCTGAAAACATGCACCAGCGGGGCTCATCAAACAACTTCAATTCCTAGAAGATATTTGAGTCATTCTTGGTCTTTAATCCAGATTCTTTTGCAAGTCTCTCCTTCAATCTCTTGATTTCTTCTAAACATTTTTAGTTATATCTATGTTATCAACAAACAGAATGAGATAGTAATTTATTCTACCAGATTGTTTGACTAATAGTGCATGATCCTTTTGTTGTAGTACATCTTATATTCTTTATTGCTTTAACGTACCTCCCAAACCAAGTTGAGGTGGTTGGTAAACTCATATAGAGCCTTCATTAACAAACTTTATTCCTTTGAAATTTTCTTCTACATTAGGTGGTATATCCATATAAACCTCCTCTAAGTCTCATTGAAGGAAAGGTCAATCGAGTTTGTAGCCAAAAATAACAATATAGGAACAGTGTCACTGTTGCCATTGGAGAAAGGTTCTCTGGTTTTCTATTCCATACTATAGGAAATTTGATTTCTATCATTGCAATTTGAAAGATTCAGTTATTATGTTATTGTTTCAAAAAATCTAGACTAAAAATATTTGAGATTAAACAGGAATAGGACTGATACTTAATTTTGCTTTAGTAATATTAATGTGATAATAACATTGAAAGTTTCTGTGTCTTTCAAATTTTACGGAAAACTATTGATATTGATTAGGTCTCCTTGAATAGTTTTCAAGATAAATTCTGTCACGGTAGATCTGCTTCAATTACTTATCTGATTGTTGCTTGTTTGTATGTTGACAGAAAATCAATCAAATTGGGAAACAACATGCTCAATTCAGTACTTAATCACCATCATGACAATGAGATGGTGAATCCAAATTTCGATCTCATCAAGTACTAAACGAAGAAAGTTGAAATCCAAGGTTGGAATGACTTTGCTTTGGATGAAAAAGATGGAAAGGAATGGGCTATTGAATCATTGTAGGGAAAAGTTTGTAGGTCAGGAAAGAGTGGAACCACACATTGAAAAATCATTTAGAAACCTGTGAGGTAAAAACAAATTGGTTGAAGGTGCAGGTACATCAACAAAACAAGTGATCAACTACTTCTGTAGTTGTCAAAGAAAAATCTGTGATTGATAAGGAACTGAATCGCTTGGATGTGGACACGAATATATTAAATATGGGTTTTCTTCATTAAACGCTATAAAGATTGACATACTTCATGTTTACAAAGAAGAAAAGGAAAAACTTATTCGAATATTGATAAACTCCTTGTAGATTTAATTTAAAATTGAGTGGTTTCATAAAGGTTACTTTTTATAGTACTCCAATTTATTGATGATGGTTGGGAACTGAAGAAGAAGATTATTGATTTCCAACGGGCAAAAGGTTTGTAGAAATTCTTAAATGTTCCTCTTGGAATGGAACATGACAAGAAAATATGCTCTACAGTTGGATGTTGGTGGAGTCTGATGCAGTTATTTCAGAGATAGACAACTGGCTTCTAAACGAGGTTCACTTCCTTTCATTGGGCAATTTTTCCGATTGATTGTTAGTATATTCTCTAACATTATATTAGGAATGGAGGAAAGTGATATGTGATGTGCTTAAAAAGATGAAGCATGCTTTGACTTTGCTCGTAAGACTTCATCAAATGAACGTATGTTTCAAACTCCGACAGAGGAATTCAAGTTGTTGGAATGTGCATGGGGTTGAAAAACACATTTTGTGAGCTAGGCGTAAGTACCCTGATTTTAAGTTAAAAACTTGTCAACGGAGGATGGGATAAATACTGTGGTATGTGAATACTGGAAATGTTGTGAAAGTGCTATGGTATGTTGTGAGAGTAAATATACTCTGCAAATGTGTATTTCCTATAGTTTGTGACATATATATGCATTTGCTTCAATGGGAAAATAGTGACAAGAATCACATCTGCGAAGTGGCATAAGTATGAGAGAGGGTTGTTTTGACAAATATTGGAGGAATGTAACTTGGTTCTAGTAGTCACGACAGTTCTTGACCCACGATTCAAAATGGATATTGTAGTACTTTGGTACAAAGAGATTTATGGTAGTGATGCTGAAGAACACCTCAACAATATCAGGGAAGATCTACCAATGTTTTCAATATATACGCCAATCGCTTGGGGAAGAGCAAATCATCTATTTAGGAACTGGTGCCGTTAATTCTTCATCGTTATGTAAAATGCTAGATGCGATGGGGAGGCTAGACACATCTTCACACCATGTTGATGATATTGCAGCACCAATATTTGAACTTGATCGCTATTTGAAAGATCAAAATTCCTTTAGTTGAAGAATTTGATGTACTAGCTTGGTGGCGTATCAACTCTCCAAATTCCAACACTTGCAATGATGGCGCTTGATTTTTTATCTATACCTGTTTCTTCCTGTGTTGCTTCTCTAAAAAATGATTCGGTGACTGAAATTGAAAATATTATTGATCAGAAAGGTTTGGGTGCTGAAATCAAACAAGCTTTATTAGTTCAAAAATCGGTTGCACAGCTCTGAAGATAATAACTTTCTCTAGCTGTTCACACATAACAACGAAACTTAAGAGTTTGCATAAAACAGGCTCGCTTAAAAGGAAGCTGGAATCATTTCTGTTCAAAGCAGATTGGGAAGAGCTAGAAGAGGCAGCTTGGACCAATGTCTATTTGAATTTTGATCCACTGTGAAGCATTCACTCAGGTAATAACTTTATTATGCATTAGTGCTCTGTAATAATCAAATTCCCGATATATGTTAGAAGTTTCTTAAAGCAGAAATTTTGGTGTTTCCCAGCTATCTTGATCACATTTGTTTTGCAGGCTAGAACTTTAATATGCCTTGCCATCATCTTGGCTTGATTGAAGCCTTCGATTTCCAATTCAGCTGGAGCTCTGAATCATGCATGATATCCTTTGATATGTTTAACCTAAGTGCATGCGATACAATCTGGATTTTCCAGATTGGTGGAATAGTATCAGTCGATTTGATTAACCCCAACAATGATGATGAAGCGAAACATTCATGCAATGGACAGGTAGCCTTCCCTCCGTTTTACTCATTGAAGTTTTAAGTTCCTCAGAAATGTAGTAGTGCGATTAAATTTTTTTTGCCAAAAATGATAAAATATCAACTAGTTCTAGGTTGATTCTAATTCATGTATCTGATGAGCACATTAGGTTTTAGGTTTGATTCTTGCAAAACGTTATAGAGGTGCAATCTGCGAACGTTTTATATAGCAAGTTGCGGGGTGATTATCAGTTTGAGGAGTTCCATCAAACCCTTTTTCATGTCTTTCTCACTCACATTCATGTTGACATTGTGCAGAAAAAAAAGAAGAGGAGAGATAAAAGACCAATCTCTTTTTCACTTTTTTTTCTTGTAATGTGTTGAGATGGGAGGGTGAAAAGGAGAGTACTTTTAGCGTTGCTCTTATCAGATAAAATAAGTATGATGGACTTATATAAAAATTGGTCTGTCTGAACTGATATTAATGATCATAAATATTTACAAAAGATTTGATGGATATCTTTTAATATGTTCGTTTTATATCTTTGATATATATTGAAATTCATGTGCTAAGCAGATATAAGAAGTAATTGTTACCTCTAAATTTAGTTTATTGATTATCTGCATATTTGCTAAATGATAATAAATACTTGAATTTTAAAGATGCTACTGGTATGTGTGTACGCAGTAAATATACTACTGCAAATGTGTGTTTCCCTATAGTTATTGACATATAAATGCGTTACTTCTATGGAAAAAAGTGACAAGAATCACCTTCGTGAAGTGGCATCATGAATGAGAGAGGGTTGTTTTGACAAATATTGGAGGAAATGTAACTTGGTTCTAGGAATCACGCAGTTCTTGACCTACGATTTAAAATGGATATTGTAGAACTTTGGTACAAAGAGTTTATGGTAGTGATGCTGAAACACACCTCAAGAATATCGTGGTTGATCTTACCAATGTTTAATAAATACACCAATGGCTTGGGTAATAGCAAATCTTCTTCTTTAGGAAATGGTGATGTTAATTCTCATCGTTATGTAAATGCTAGATGCCATTGGGAGGCTATACACATCTCCACACCATGTGATGATATTGCTGCACTAAAATTTGAACTTGATCGCTAATTGAATGTTCTAATTTCCTCTAGTTGAAGGATTTGAGTAGTAGCTTGGTGGCGTACTAACTCACCAAATTTTTCAACACTTGCAATGATGGCATATGATTCTTTAAAAACCTGTTTTCTTCTTGTGTTGCTTCTTTAAAAATTGTTTTGGGACTGAATTTTAAATATATTTTTGATCAGAAAGGCTTGGATGCTGAAACAAACAAGCTTTATTATGTTAAAAAATCTGGTTGCCCAGCTCTGAAGATAAATGAGTTTCTCTTGGTGTTCACACATTAACACCGAAACTTAAGAGTTTGCATATAATCAGGCACTTATGGGGAAGCTGGAATCATTTCTGATTCAAAGCAGGATGGGAAGAGCAAAGAAGAGGCAGCTGGACAAATGTCTATTTGATCCACTGTGAAGCATCTGTTTAGGCAATGACTATATTTATGCATGCAGCTCTGGTAATAGTCAATTCCTGATATATATTTGAAGTTCTTAAGCAGTAATTTTGTGAAATCCCAGCTCTTCTTGATCCCATTTGTTTTGCAGGCTAGAACTTTGAACTGCTGTGCCAACATCTGGGCTTGATTGAAAGCGGTCGATTACCAATATCAGCTGGAGTTCTGAAATCAATGCAATGATATCTTTTGATATGATTAACCTGAGTACATTCAATACAATCTGGATTATCCAAGATCGATGGAACAGTATCATTCAGCTTTGTTAACCCCAACAATGATGATGAAGCCGAAATATTTCATGCTAATGGACAAGTAACCTTCTCTCCTTTTACTCATTGAAGTTTTAAGTTCCTCAGAAAACTATTGTAGTGCGATTGAAATTTCTTTTTGCAAAAATCATTAAATATTCAAATAGTTCTAGCTTTAATTCTAGTTCACGATATCTGATGAGCGCATTACGTTTTAGGTTTGATTCTTGCAAAAAATTTATAGAGATGCAATCTGAGAAGGTTTTTTAATAGCAAGTTGCTGGGTGATTATCAGTTTGAGGAGTTCCGTCAACACTCTTTTGCATGGTCTTTCTCACTCTCACATTCATCTTGACATCTGTGCTAGAAAAGAAAGAATGAAGAGAGATAAAAGACCAATCGCTTTTTCACTTCTTTTTTTCTCGTACATGTGTTGAGATGAGAGGGTGAAAAGGGGAGTACTTTTAGCATTGCTCTTATCAGATAAAATAAGTATGATGGACTTATTTAAAAATTGGTCTGTCTGAACTGATATTAATGATCATAAATATTTAACAAAAGATTTGCTGCATGTCTTGTTAATATTGTCTTGTTTTATATCTTTGATATATAAAAATTCATGTGCTAGGCTAGATATAAGAAGGAATTGTTTACTCTCTAAATTTAGTTTATTGATTATCTGCAGTTCCGTTATATGGGAGTAAATACTGGGAATTGTTGAAAGATGCTATTGGTATGTTGTATGGGAGTAAATGTACTACTGCAAATGTATATTTCCCTATAGTTTGTGACATATATATGCGTTTGCTTCTATGGGAAAAAAGAAACAAGAATCTTGTTCGCGAAAGTGGCATCATGCATGAGAGAGGGTTGTTTTGACAAATATTGGAGGAAATGTAACTTGGTTCTAGTAATCACGACAGTTCTTGACCCACGATCTAAAATGGATATTGTAGAACTTTGGTACAAAGAGATTTATGGTAGTGATGCTTAAACACACCTCAAGAATATCGTGGATGATCTTACCAATGTCAATAAATACGCCAATGGCTTAGGGAATAGCAAATCTTCTTTAGGAAATGGTGATGTTAATTCTTCATCGTTATGTAAAATCCTAGATGCCACGGGGAGGCTATACACATTGTTACACCATGTTGACGATATTGCAGCACCAAAATTTGAACTTGATCGCTATTTGAAAGATTCAAAATTTTCTTTAGTTGATGAATTTGATGTACTAGCTTGGTGGCATATCAACTCTCCAAATTTTCCGACACGTGCAATGATTGCGCATGATTTCTTATCTATACCTGTTTTCTTCTTGTGTTGCTTCGTCAAAAATTGTTTTGGAGACTGAAATTGAAAATATTATTGATATGAAATGCTTGGATGCTTAAATCAAACAACCTTTATCATGTTCAAAAATCTGGTTGCGCAGCTCCTAAGGTAAATGAGTTTATCTAGGCTGTTCACACAATAGCACCAACAACTTAAGAGTTTGCATATAAACAGGCTCACTTATAAGGAAGCTAGAATCATTTCTGATTCAAAGTAGGTTGCTAAGACCAAGAAAGAGGCAGCTTGGACCAATGTCTATTTGATCCACTGTGAAGCATTTACTCAGTTAATAAATTTATTTATGCATTAGTAGCTCTGGTAATAATCAAATTCCAGATATATATTAGAAGTTCTTATAACAAAAGTTTTGGTGATTTCCCAGCTCATCTTGATCCCATTTGTTTTGCAGGCTAGAACTTTCAATACTGCCTGTGCCATCATCTGGGCTTGATTGAAGCGTTCGATTACCAATATCACCTGGAGTTCTGAAGTTATGCAATGATATCCTTTGATATGATTAACCTAAGTACATAAGATACAATCTGGATTATCCAAGATCAATGGAACAGTATCATTCAGTTTGATTAACCCCAACCATGATGAAGCAGAAACATTTCATGCTAATGGACAGGTAACCTTCTCTCCTTTCACTCGTTGAAGTTTTATGTTCCTCAGAAATCTATAGTAGTGCGATTGAAATGTTTTTGTCAAAAATTATTAAATATTCAAATAGTTCTAGGTTTGATTCCAATTCCTGATATCTGATGGGCACATTAGGTTTTAGGTTTGATTCTTGCAAAAAGTTTTAGAGGTGCAATCTGAGAAGGTTTTATAATAGCAAGTTGCTGGGTGATTATCAGTTTGAGGAGTTCCATCAACACTCTTTTTCATGGTCTTTCTCACTCTTACATTCATCTTGACATCTGTGCTAGAAAAGAAAGAAAGAGGAGAGATAAAAGGCCAATCTCTTTTTCACTTTTTTTGCTTCTTGTACATGTGTTGAGATGAGAGGGTGAAAAGGGGAGTACTTTTAGCATTGCTCTTATCAGAAAAAATAAGTATGATTGACTTATTTAAAAATTGGTCTGTCTGAACTGATATTAATGATCATAAATATTTAACAAAAGATTTGATGGATATCTTGTTAATATTGTCTTGTTTTATATCTTTGATATATAAAAATTCATGTGCTAGGATAGATATAAGAAGGAATTGTTTTCTCTCTAAATTTAGTTTATTGATTATCTGCGGTTCCGTTATATGAAAGTAAATACTGGGAATTGTTGAAAGATGCTACTGGTATGTTGTATGGGAGTAAATATACTACTGCAAATGTGTATTTCCCTATAGTTTGTGACATATACATGCATTTGCTTCTATGGCAAAAAAGTGACAAGAATCTTGTTCGCGAAGTGGCATCATGTATGAGGGAGGGTTGGTTTGATAAATATTGGAGGAAATGTAACATGGTTATAGTAATCACGACAGTTCTTGACCCAAGATTTAAAATGGATATTGTAGAACTTTGGTACAAAGAGATTTATGGTAGTGATGCTGAAACACACCTCAAGAATAATTAAGGAGAATATCCATAAAGTTAATTAATCAGAAATTATTTATTATTATTAATTATACATTGAAAAAGCCCTTTCTTATATGAAAGTAGTTATTAAATGTGTCATCAATTTTTTTTTAATCTTTCATTTTTAAATATTTCAATTTTTTCTTTTATTTTGCCCCCACTGAATCAAATTTGTGGCTCCACTGATGATGCAAGCACATGATTTAGGATGAGAATAAATTGAAATGTTACCAAGACAGGTAGTAATATTTGTACTTACTTTAGTTTTTTATTTATCAAAATATTTTTTTGTTTTGGGGTCGTAATAATCCTCTGATTAATTTTGATTTTATTTTCGCAGAAACTGAAGAATAGCCTGCTGTCACAATCAATTGCGTTGAAGGATTGCGATCCCGGTGACTGTATTTGTCTTTGCAAAGTGTCAACAAGCTTATGGGAATGTAGTAACAAAAGGATTGTGTGGCGGTGCATGTATTTGTCTTTGTTTTAAATATTGCTGAATAATTTTAGGGTAATTTTACAAATACTCAAGATTTTGTATTCCAACAACACGTTGAAAGTGTTAGATGGATAGTTAGTTTAACTGCAGTTAGTAACGAAGTTAGATGGATAGTTAGTTTAACTGTAGTTAGTAAAGAAGGAAGGTAGCTAAAGTTTGGTTAGCTAAGTTGAGTTAGTTCTGTATATATATTTAATGCTGTTGTTGTTAATAAAGAATTAGAGCAGAAAATTATTCTTCTTCTTCCCAAAAGTTCTCTGGTTTATATTTGTTAACATGGTATCAGAGTACTCCCATTAACAGCTTCTGCTTCTATTTCTTGATCATTCTCTTGATCGAAATCTGTTTTAGTTTTCATTTTCTGAATCAGATTCTCACAAAAATCCCTTTCTTTGAGCCAAAATTGGTCAATCTGAGTTGTCTCCCTTGTGATGGCAAATGCTATGGTGAATCTTCTTTACATGCAGTTGATTCTAATTCACCTTTTTTCATTCATCCTTCTAACACACCTGGAGTTGTATTGGTCTCGGAACAGCTAATAAGGACTGAGAATTATGGAATCTATAGTCGAGCAATGACGGTATCGCTAAGGGCAAAAAACAAGTTAGGGTTTGTCGATGGCACTTGTGAAAAGTCTTCGGTAAGTCCTCTGTTGATTTTGCAATGGGATTATGGGAAAGATGTGACTCATTGGTTTTCTTGGATATTCAATACTGTCCATTGTTTTAAAAACCGGATCGCTCGTTGACCCGATCAAGGGGTCGATTCTCGGGTTGACTGGTCCAACCAGTTGGACAGTCGGTTTGATCGGCATACAGCAGACACATCTCTAAACAATTCCATCAGTCCTTATAAGTTTGAAAACCAACAAATACATCTTTAAAATTTACTCACAAGTTATTGTAAGTTTAAAATAAAGCAAATAACTTTTATTAGTAATTGTTTTTTTCTCTCTCCCTATCACTTTCATCTTTCTCTTTTTTTCACTTTCGTCTTTCTCTTTGTTTCTCTCTCCCCATCACTCATTGTCACTTTCTTCTAACACATTCCCGTTTCTATACTGTAATTTTTCTCTCCTCTTCTCTTTCTTCTAATCCTCTTCCTTATTCTTTCTCTTTGTCTCCTCTTCTCTTTCTTCTTCCTTCCCCTCCCCCTTACTTCACTTGACGGCCAAGAAGGTCTTGGTTGTCGCAATCTGGCCAAATGAGGTCCAAATCGGACCGGCCACTTCTTCCTTCCCCTCCCCTTCTTCTTCTTCTTCTTTACACTGTAAATTTTAGAGTAAGTGAAAAAGAATAGGGATGAAAATGGAAGATGCAAGTTGGTCTTTTTATTGAAATGAAATGGAGAATGCTTGTTGGCTCAATGAAATGGAGAATGAAACGATGTTGCAAATTGGTTTAGGAATTAGGAATTAGGAATTGGATTTTGCTTCACTGAGAATTCCTTTGAGCCAGATTGCTTCTTTAAATATATCAGCTACAGCCACGTATTCAGCTTCGGTTGTGGATAATGCAACTATTGGCTATAGTTGTGATTTCCAGTTGATACAGTTTCCACCTAAGGTGAAGTAGTATGCAATAGTTGATTTTCTGGTGTCTCTATCACCTGCAAAATCTGAATCCACAAAACTAACCAACTCAAGTGAAGGAGTCCGTTTATAATAATTCAGTCCAACATTCAATGTGGTATTTATATATTTGAGAACCCACTATAGGGCTGTCCAGTGTTCCATATCAGGGTTAGACATATATCTACTGAGCAGGGATATTACAAAAGATAAGTCAGGCCTAGTGCTAATCATAGCATACATTGGGGATCCTATCACATTTGCATATGGTATGTGTTCCATCCTAATCAGTTCAACTTCATTTCTAGGGCATTGTGTTTTGCTCAATGTGAAGTGGCTGGCCAATGGCATAGTGACAGGTTTAGAACCTGCCATCCAAAATTTTTCCACTAATTTGTGCGAGTATGAGCACTAGTAGACTCTCAGCTCACATTTATTTCTGTTTCTGTCAGTTTGCATGCTTAGAATCTTCTTTGCATCCCCCAAATCTTTCATTTCAAACTCAACGCTAAGTTTTTTCTTCAGTTCACCTATTAGGGGCTCGGACTTACTTATTATTAGCATGTCATCCACATACAACAATAAGTAAACAAGCAGGTTACCATTAAAAGCAAAGTAGAAGCAATTATCGTATTTACTCCTAGTGAACCCTATACTCACAATAAAAGTGTCAAACCTTTTATACCATTGCCTAAGGGATTGTTTTAGGCCGTACAAAGACTTAAGCAGTAAACAAACATGGTAAGGGGTCTTCTGATCTATGAAACCTATAGGCTAACTCATGTAGATCTCTTCCTCGACATCTCCATGGAGGAAGGTAGTTGTTACATTTAGTTGTTCAAGTTCTAAATCAAGGTGGACAACTATGGACAGCATTAACCTTATTGTTTTATACTTGATTACTGGGGAAAATACTTAATTGAAGTCTATTCCCTCCCTTTGGATAAAACCCTTGGCTACCAGTTTAACCTTATACCTGAGGGGTTCTTTAACAGTTATACCATCCTTTAGTTTGAACAGCCATTTGCATTGGATTACCTTTTGTTTCTTTGGCTTTGGTACTAGGATCCAGGTCTTGTTTACCTCTAAAGATTTCATCTCAGCTTCCATGGCAACCCTCTATTTGTCCCTTTCCTTTGAGTTCATAGCATCATCATATGATTCAGGTTCGATTCTCAGCACTTTAGTACCTGCAAGAAGGACAGTGTAAATGAGATTAGCATATAAAAATCTGGTGGGAATTCTTACCTGTTTTTTGGCCCTATCTCTTCCAAGTTGGTAGTCTTGCAAGTTTTCAGGCTGAGTTTCAGTGTCTTTTGCTATTTCTGTCTCATCCTCTTGTTCTAGATCAGATTGTCCAGTTTCTCCTCCAGGTTTAGGAACAACTTCAGTTTCCTGGATGATTTCAGTTTCTTGCAGGTGTTGGGGTTAGACAGGAAGCTCTACCTCAATTGGTGTAACCCCAGGCTGACTAGAGATCTCCTTAGAGCTTGAAGTAGAACCTACATCAGTGTTAGTTTCTTTACATGGAAAAACTCTCTCATTGAATATCACATCTCTGCTCACTATAATTCTAACCCCAGGTGACTCCCTGTCCCAAAGCCTATACCCTTTTGTTCCTTCTTGATATTCTAAGAAGACACACTTAGTTGATCTTGGTTCAAGCTTTCCTCCAACCGAATGTGCGTATGTAGCACAACCAAATACTCTTAAGTGTCTCAAGTCAGGTCTTCTTCCTGTCCATATCTCTTCTGGGCATTTTAGGTTGATGGTAGTGGAAGGACTCCTATTTATCAGGTAGGTTGAGGTAGTTAGGGTTTCTCCCTAGAAAGAGGTGGGTAGTTTGGAGGTGATAAGCAGACACCTAACTTTATCAAGAAGGGTACTGTTCATTCTCTCAGCTACCCCATTCTGTTGAGGGGTGTATTTCGCAGTCCTATGCCTTAAAATCCCTTGATCACTACAGAATTTATCAAACTCTTAATTATAGAACTCTAACCCATTGTCAGTTTTGAGAACTTTAACCCTTTTATTCATTTGGTTTTCCATTAAGAGTTTCCACTCCTTAAACCTTGCTAAGGCTTGATCCTTAGATTTCAATAGGTAAACCCAAACCTTTTGGCTGTAATCATCCACTAGAGACATAAAGTAACAGTTTCCCCCATAGGTTTTAACTCTACCAGGCCCCCACAAGTCAGAATGGATGTATTCTAGTTGACTAGTGGCTAGGTGCATTCCCTTTTGAAAACTGTTCCTATGTTGTTTTCCTAGTATGCAGTTTTCATAGAACTCCAGTGATGAGACACTATCTTTGCCAAACTGACCTTGATTACTTAGGATATCCATTCATTTTTTACTCATGTGGCCTAATCTAAGATGCCACTTTTTTGTAGTGGATAGGTTAGTAGACTTAAGCACTGAATTAAAACAATTTGGGGAGTGGTTCCCACAGAGTATATAGAGCCCATTCTTTTTCTCTCCTTTCAGGATTAGGTTTCTATTTCTGTATATATTCATGCATCCATTCTCTGCCTTATAGCAGCAGCCTGATTCGTCTAAGGTACCTAGGGATATTAGGTTTCTTTAAAGTTCTAGGATATACCTAACTTTTGTAAGTTTAACCAGTTTTTCAGTGTCAAGCTTTAAAGTTATGGAACCTATTCCTCTAACCCTACATGCATTATTGTTCCCCATGTAAACAGTTTCTGAATTAGTGACTTCAAACTCTTGGAACCAGTTTCTGTTTGGACTCATATGGAATGAACACCTTGAGTCCAGCACCCACTCATTAGTAGTGTCAGACATTGACACTGTAAGCACCTCAGGTTCATCTAACAGATTTTTGGTGGTGGCTAGATTGTTTTCTGTGTTCCCTTGTTTTTGCTTCTTGATCCATTCAAAACAATTCTTTTTAATGTGACCAGTCTTATTGCAGAAAAACATTTTCTAGTTTCTGTTTTGTTCTTGTTATTACCCTTCCATTTTTTCATATTTTTATTTCCTTGATTCGTAAAACTACCCTTCCCTGTTTGATTGGACTCAACTCTGCTTTTGACAAACAGGTTTGATCTATTTCTTTTCTAGACCTTCAGTTCTAATTCTCTAGCCTTAAGTCATGCTATTATTAGATCTAGGTTTGGTACAATGTCAGAGTACTGTAATGCGTTTTTGACTACTTGGTAGTCTTCTGGCAGTGAGTTCAAAAGAATCATTGCTAGGCTAGTATTTCCTAATTCTTGATCTGTTCCTTTCAGGATCAGAGTCATTTTTAAGAATTTGTCTAGATTCTCCTCTTCACTCCTAGAACTATCCATTTTATACGAAAATAAAGTACCCTTCAAAAAAGCCAAATTTGGGGCAAACTGTAAAACATATAAAGAGTTGAGTTTACCCCATAATTCCAGTGGTGATTCGATGCTATCTACCTTCCTGAGGACACTGTCAGATAGATTCAAGACTATCAGGTTGTAAGCCTCTTCATTGATCTCCTTTTTTTTTTTTTTTTTTTTTTTTTAGCTTCTCCTCCGGCCACTTTTTAAGGTCATCTTCCAGTGCGATTGCCACCTTATTGTGAGAGAGCAGTGCTCTCTTCTTTTTCTTCCAACTCCCGAAGTCAATCTTCCCATCATATTGAGAGATTTCCATTCGGGTGG